AGTTCAATTGCATATTCAACATTTCTCTCAGTTCTCCTCCCAACTATGAATTCCAATAACCAAAGACAAATAAATCTCATCAAAATGTGGCAAAATGAACACCGTATCCAGGCCATTCTTTGAAATTCTTTTATTGGAAAACCGCTGCCTGATTGGAACGATTTTACAATCCTGATTGGCAAGTCAAACGGTACATATTTGAATTTCACACTACAAATCACAAATTTCTATTGGGGAGAAATTTTATCAGTATATTTTTGCTTCGATATACCTACGTGCCATTGAAATTCTAAAACGCATCTCCAATTGTTTAAAGACTCGAGGACAACCTGTTTACCTGTTTTCTCCTCATCGATATTCTAGGAAAAATACCATTTTTCCTCCCAAAGGAATTGGCTTAATAAATTATTACCAGACTCCAAAGGGAAAAAGTACGTGAATCACATCGGAAAAATATTATAATTCACCGAAAGGAGATTTGATTGAATGATTGGCAAATATTTTGCAGCTTGGCTTAGGTATTGATTTTTCATTTTTAGCAGTTGATAATTCTGATAAATTTATTAATTCTATTCTATTTACTTTGAAAACAATCTTATTTAACTTTTAAGAACATCGCTTTGCTCATCTGTGGTGGAAAGTTTATGCTGGCGGTTTATAAAGTATGTGATAAGGGTGATGACCGAGCATACCAAGAAATCTAGGTGATTATAGTCCGATGCTTTCGAATGCTTGCTTAATGGCATTTAGCGTAGTTTGTAGGTCTGTATTGACCCGGGAAGCGTTGTCGTCAAAATTTTGAAGCTCACAAACAGTTGTTGTGGATACTTTGTTGTTTTGGTTCGAAGTTTGCTCACCATCAGTGCCTTGAGAGATATCAACGCCCAAGACCAGGTTTTTCTGGAGAAGGTGAAGTACGGTTCCTGAAAATAAAATCTCAACTTTGCTTCATTTCGGTTGTAATTTCAAAGGACTCTTAGTGTACATTGTTGATAAGCACATTGGCATTTATGTTGTGCAATAAACGAAGTATGTTGATGAGTTTAGGCGGATAGCCGTGCAATAGCAGTATATTCCGAAGAGCTACTCAATCAACAGAATCAAAGGCTTGGCTGTTGATGATGTTGGCCTTCAAGAGTGCGTGAATTTTTTTTTAACGTCAGAATGTTGCTGCACGAAAAAAAAATCACACGGTCCTTGACAGCTGTACATTCTTGACGCAGGCATATAAACTACGGAAAATGAGGCTGACTCTATAAGCCTCTGGAACACGTTAGATCAGATTTTCCTTCATCCTTGGGATAGTCGTTCCTAACATGGGATCGTCGCCCCTAACATTGGATCCGACGCTGCGCAGCACAAATGTTTCTACGCCTATTTCCATGTCCAGTGACCTCCGTAGGCCCCAATAAGTTACAGACTACTATCCTTTTAAATAGTCCACTTTCACGACGGGCAAGGTGAACGGTTGGCCTTACTTGACTACTCCCAGCAGGTATTGCCTTTTTTCTATTTTGGAGCTAAGGGGTAAAGAAAGAATCCGCCGGTTGTCGGCAAAGTAGGCTTTTGTAGGGTGGGTGTTTATGGAAACAAGATGAGGACAGCGGACAGCTACCGTCACCGGTAGTACCGTCTGTGCAAATCACAAAAAAATGGAAAAAGTTCAAGTATTTTAAAAAATATTGTATTTTCGAGGGTCAAAATTTTAGAGGGATGGCCTGTAGAGTGCCTATTCAAAAAAATAAAATAATTGACAGCAAATTGATAAAACTAACCTATACCCATCGTGTTCAATAGATGGTTGATCAGTTGATCTATTATTTACTGAAATTGTGACTTAAGTGATCAGAAACTACAGGAACATCTAACTAACTTATTTTTTTCTAAAAGCTTTAGCTTTAGTTTCGTTCGATAACTTATTAAAGTAGTGAAACGAGATCGAGTTAAAATGTAAATTAAAATCTCGAAAACAACAAAGAACCACTAAGAACAAAGCGATATTTTATTGAGCTTTGTACATGAACCGAAGCCCCAGAAGATTACCAAACACAAAGAAGTACTAAAAGAGCAATTGAAAATTCCGTTTTGCCTGCTATGATGTACAAGCTTCCAAGTTAAGCAATATTACATAAGCGTTCGGTTGGCCTTCTAAATTTCAAATCAGTGCTATTTTATGATAATTAAAACACCCAATATTACCGAGAGCAAAATTCTGTATTGATGCTGCTATTACCTAGGCAAAGTCTATCAGGATGGTATTTGCATATCATATTTGACATAAAGCCGACAGAATATATGCATATTAAAATTAGATTGGCTTCTAGGGTAATGGTGGCTTTGGAAGTTTGGATATATATTTAGATTATTTTGTTTGCTTGATGTTGTTATTCCGGTGTGCATCAGTTAATTTTCCACCGAGCGTTGAGAAAAGTTATGTTCTAGATTATTCATGAGATTTTTGAGAATAAGTGATAAGTTTTCAAAAAATCAAAGAATTCTTGACAGAGTGTCTCAGAGAAAGTTGTTGGAAAATATTTTTGGAAAAACACAATTGTTTAACCAAAGCTTCAACACACTGTTAATTACTCATCTGATAATTTTGTAATCCCCTGACACTGTCAGCTTTACGCAATACGTGCGGTTTTGATTTATTAGGCAATGAAGAAACCCGAATTCTCGATTAGTTGAGCATCTTGATCTGTTTTTTTTTTTTTTGGCGCTCTCGTCCTGTCCTATGGATTGTATGGTTATTTTGTTCTTCCGTTTCGCTATAGGGTGGTCTTCCGGTATGTGGTTCTCGTAGCACTTCTAGTTGTTTAGTGATACTCCTTTATCACCACATCACTATATTTCTTGTCCTTTTTAGGAGTCCTATATTAGTTTCTTTTTCGGCCGTTATAAGGTAGGAGTGGCCTCCACCTTGCCTGGCTTTCATTTTGATACATTCAGTAATTTTGCGTTCTTGGTTTAAGATTTGTTTGATTTTTTCTGTATCCATGTCTGGGGGGCCTTTGAATTGGTTGTAATTTACTTTTGCCGTAACCATAATGGGTGGTGGTCTGGTTGGGCTGTTCTGGCTCGCTAAAGGTTCCTCTGTAGGATCTACTGGTAGTATATCCCGAACCTATTATTGGTTGGGACGTTGATTTGGGTACTGGTTCCTGATTGTTGGGGGTCTATGTCGGCTTTTTCCTCCTCAGAGGAGCTGGATACACTGGTTCTTCATCCTATTTCTCCAGAATCCGTTTGATTGGTCTTCGGACGACCTTGCCCATCAGGGCTCGCCATTGGGCTTTCCCACTGTTCGTCACTCGCACTATACTACACTACCACTGTATATCGCTGTACGTGTTTTGATTTCGTATTTCCCCTCTGGTAACGGCACTAGTCAACGTTACCATCAGTTGGTACTAATCTTTTTCCGTTTCGAGAGTTCTTTGCTAGGAGACCGTTCAAGAGCTCAACCCTTGAGCTTGAGAGAAGCAGCCTTAAAGGAGATTCACACGATAAGCAAGCTATAGAACTTTAATAGCATGTGGCTCCCTCTTTTCGAAGTCCTACAAAGCAAAATCCAAAAACGATCTGTAAGGTCGAGAAACTGGCAAGAATTCTCTTATTTTTTGGTCTGCAATCAGCGCCAGTAGCCAGTGATTGAGAAGTCAGGTTTCTTCAATTTTATAAAGCCAAACTACACGAATTGCGTAAATCTGAATGTGCTAGACCAATACAAACTTATCGTATGAGTAACTAGCAGTATATGTTGAGTGTTTATCCAAAGATATTTTTCAATAACTTTATTATTTATCATTATAATAAGAGATAATTCAACAAGGCATCAAAGAATCATATCAAAGAAACAAGAGAACGTTCGAGTTGTTTTTTTTTGCCCGATCTTTTAAGCATAGGGATTAAAACTGCATATACCTAGTGGAATAATTAAAAAGTTTGAGGTGGCGCTGGCCGCAGATGCAACGTTGATACAAAGTGTGTTGATATATTTATCTTGTTACTTTTTAATGCATTCCGGCTGCACTTTTTCTAAAAAAAAAACGGTGTCCTTAATGGAATAGGGAATGTCCGAGCGGCAATGCATAATTTACTATTCTAAAGGGACTAGTTGGTTGAATAATGTATTCAAGGTTTTTCGGTATGCATGAGTGTCATTAACTGTGAATTTTGTATTTTCCATTTTACTTTGAAGCAGCATTTATTCTTTGTTTCAAGCTCGGTGCCAAATATCTTTTTTCTATTCGTTCTACTGAAAATTTTGTCGCCTATATTAAGACTTTTCCCCGCAAAATATATATCAATATCACTTGTTTTCCATTATACATATATATGAGGGTTTTCGCTAAACTTTGCTATCCTCACGTACAAAAAATATATTAATCCAATTATCTTTTCTACCTTGAATTTCACAGAAATTGCTCCAGCCCCAGGCGTATTTCGTAAAAAGCAAAAACACATTAACTTAATAATCTTATTCGCGTTTATTGGCTCAAAATTTAATTGAATAAATTTGCTAACTGATCCGAAAGTTATCGTCCCTTGGGCTGGAGCTGCTGCGGAAATTACATAAAAATCAATAAGTCATCTCTGTGCGATATATTATTTCGCAATTCCTTTTTCGAAATTTGTTCAAGCCGATTTAGGATTTACAATAAATTTCGATTAAAAAGCTAACATACCACATCTCAAATTAATTGCAGTTTTTGTTGCGAGCTTTGAATATTTACTCTCCCAGCAATTTTTGTGCTTCCAGCAATTTGATTAACTTCCACATTGTGTTGCCTTAATTTTGCCACGGCGTTTCCACACATAACGCATAGTAAATGAGCGAAACTCAATTTAAATGTTTTGAATTTTTGGCTTCATTTGCAGGAACTAGCCAGAAGGGACGATTCGCGATCCAATTAAAATTTCTTTGGACTTTAATTATCATTAAAATTGATAACTGGAATTATTGCACCTTAATCTAATGTGTTTTTTTGTTGTTGCAGGAACAAAGTCACAAATCCTACAGGCCGTTATGCGTCCTAACGTTCCGACTCAACTACCTATTTGGACAATTGGAACCACTTGGATATCATTTGGTCAACATGTTGCTACATTCTGTGGTCTGCTTGATGTATTTCAGGTATGTAATTAATTTTAAACAAACGTAGCTTCCTGATCAAGATTTCCCCAAGTCAAATTACATCGTATAAGTACACTCCTCGGTACACTCAAAGCCCCCGGTCAAAATACAGCATTCGCTTGACAGGGTTCATTTAATCCAGTTTCATTAACACTTTCGAAGCGGTATACACAGAAAGACGAAATTTTGCAGCTGCTGCAAGTTGTCTCGTAGCTTTTCTAGTTCTCCATTACCGAAATGTGAGCTTTGAAGCGGCGTACAAGTAGAGCCATTTGGTTTTGAGTTGACAATAGAACAAATATAATCAACGAAATTAGTTGCTCTTGTGTTCTTTTCGTCAGATAAAGGTTTTCCAATTCTCATTATTATATGAGAAAATAGTTATTTTTGTACCTAGTGCGCGAAATTCCATTTTGGTGATGTTACAAATAAATAGAATTATACATTTGTAATCTAGAGCAAGAGAACTTATAGGGTCGTGGAATTCGAAGAAATAAAGAAAGTGTGTAGCCCCTTTATGTGCAAATAAAACCACTTAAATTCCAACAAACAATAATTTTATTTTCACGATGTAAGTGATACTGTGAGTAACAAGTTACTTTTTTTTAAATTTGACAGTAAACAGTTTGGTTGTTCTGGTGACACTGATACGTATGTACCATCGTCACCAAAAGTATCTGGGACACAAATAATGTATAATAATCTCCTAGACTAATTCTACTGTCATTCATTTCAATGCATTTAACTCATAATTTCACAAATATTTGACAATAAAATTCATATAATGGGACAAGAGCTAATGTGATGCTGTCCCAGTTACTTTTAGTGACGATGGTACCTTTTCCAATCCGGAGCTCTTCAGGTTGTTTCCTATATTCAGGAACAAGGATAGATTACTGGTGTGATGTCACTCCAGCTGATCCAGACTCCAAAAAATGAATTCATTTCAATGCATTTAACTCATAATTTGACAAATAGTTGACAATAAAATTCATATAATAGGACAAGAGCTAATATGATGCTGTCCCAGTTACTTTTAGTGACGATGGTACCTTTTCCAATCCGGAGCTCTTCAGGTTGTTTCCTATATTCAGGAACAAGGATAGATTGCTGGTGTGAAGTCACTCCAGCTGATCCAGACTCCAAAAAATGATCTTGAGGAATAGGTACCCAGAAAAGAATTTACAGTATCAGGTTCACCAAATTTTGGAATATTAAATTCCTGAATTCTGCTAGAAAGCGAGTATCTTGCAAAGAAAAAAATTAATATGAAATTAGTTTATTATAAAACTATTGTTGTGCAGACACTCCCTTCCAACAGAATCAGGTATATAGATACCTATATATTATTTAAAACCGATGTCGATTTTAGACATAGACAAATACAAACTATGCTAACACAATTAAATCTTCAAATAAAGACATCAGAATTGCCAAAAAGAAAAAATAACATCTCAAAACCTGTATGAAAAATGTCCTTTTGCACCAAATTGTTCGACTGGAATTAGCCGATAACAAATCTAGAAAAAATAGCGGAGGGCAAAAGGGTCTTAACGGAAAAAAAAAGGATCGACTCAGTCCACTGGGACGTTTGATTTCGTGACAGTGCTTCCGCACTCTTTCATTACACTAATAGCTGACAAGTTCATGTGTTAGTACTAGTTAAATGACAATTGATAAATGAGATAGTGAATAAAGAGGGACAATTGAAAAAAGGGAAATAAGAAAACAGGAAGTGGAAGGAATACTTCTACGCCTGGGCGTAGTTCTAAGTAGGTAAGATTGATGAGTTCAGGTTACGAGAGAAATAAATATTGAAAAATCGATAACAGGAAAAAAACAAGTTATGAGAAACATCTGTTATGGTTTAAAACTTTGGGCAAGTAAGATTAATTGGTTGCAAAATAACAAATATATATTAGATTAAAGTTCAAACCTTAGCCGGCAAAGTGCATCTAGGCCAAAAATAGATGATGACGCCCCGTTTTCAGAAATGCAGTTTCCAAAATTTATTTGCTTGTCCTGTAGCATTTATTCAACTTAAGTGAAATGTCAAAAAATTCTCCAACGCTGTTCAAGGAATTACAACAAAACTAATTGCTCGTGAAAAATCAAATTATTTAATCGCCTTCGTCCCTATATTAGCTCGCATTGCGAGCGTCTCTTGACATCGTCAACATGGAAAAGTTCCATAGCTAAAAAACATTGTTTTGATAAAATCTCGACGATCGCGTCCCTGGTATCGCCCGCTCTTCCGGCTGACAAATGGCCCGATCATTATTGCAGAAGGAAATCGTACAGGATATATAGAAGAACTTAGATCTAAAATTAGTTGGGAGCTGGCAAAACAAAAATATAAAGGAAAGTGCATTTGTGCTGATACACCGTTCGCTAGCGACCGAAATTTAGGCATGATTGCATTTGAAAGATTGAAATTTGAAAGTACAGTAGGTACTCGTAATGAGCGAACAAGAAAATCCGCCGGTGGAACAATTTTTTGTAGTATGGTTCTTCTTTGGGAATATGAAATAAATGCTTCGAAGTGATATGCAAGCTCAACTCGTGAGATGGTTAACCACAAAAATTAAAGAAAAATAACCAAGCAAACGCTCATCATCGTAAGATTTTCGCTCGCAGCAGGAAAGTTTTGATAATTATCTTACGTTTATGAATTTCCAAACAGATGCCAGTTAATTAGTCAGTCGATATGGTTATCTACGTCATACGTCTAACGTCTTAGACAAACACACGGCTGACAATTTGAGCTCACAGATGATGCTTTAAACTATTTGGTTCTCGGGTCGTTTGCCTAATGATTGAGATGTGACAAATGCGCTAGTCATACATATGCGTCTTCTCAAACAATTCGCAAGGGATACTAGAAAAACCAGACAAAACAGCCAAAAATCTTCCAAACATATGCAGATTAAATGTTTGTATAATATAAGTTGCCAAATGATGCATTCACATTTAGCATGATATCAGAAAATATTAGGTGTCGATAGAAGAAGCCTAATGACGTAAATAATTATACAGGTTGTCCCACAATCAGCGTAACAGGCCATAACTTTTTTAATTTTAGAAATAAAAATTTGAAAAAAAAAATGGACTAATGACTAGTTAAGCTCTCTTCAAAAATATAAAAAAATCTTACCCTGACAAAATCATCCCCTATTCACAACCCTTGACTTTTTTTTTCAAATGGTACCCCTATATTTTTTATTTTATTTTTGAGAAGCTCATGAAATCACAAATTCAATGATGTATAAAAAGTTTGTTTTTCTATGTTCCGTTGGAAAAAAAAAAAATCAAAAATGGAAATAATAGTAATGGGGTTCTATTTTAAAAAAAGGCAAAAGTTGTTTTTAGGGGATGAATTTGCTAGGGAAATTTTTTTCTATATTTTTGAAAAGGGGTTAATTTGCACACAATTAATGTTTTTTTGTCATATTTGTATTTTTGAAGATAAAAAAGTGATCGCCTGTATAAGGGTAATTGTGACACGGAAAAGCAAACTTTTTATACACCATTTAATTTGTAATTTCATGAGCTTCTAAAAAATGCAAAAAAATAATAGGGGTGCCATTTGAAAAAAAAAGTCAAGGGTAGTATTTAGGGGATGATTTTGTCAGGGAAAGATTTTTTAATATTTTTGGAGAGAGCTTAACTTGCCATTAATCGTATTTTTTGTTTCAAATTTTTATTTCGAAAAATAAGAAACTTTTGGGCTGTGACGTTGATTGTGGGTTTGAATTTTTAAAAATAGAAATAACAACAGCCATTTATAGTATTGCTTAAAATCCACAATCCACAGTAAGGTATCGCTGTTCGAAGTTAAGATATATCCCCCACTTGCATTTCTTTACAACTTAAAGAGCACCGGCAAACACAATCAGAGCAGTGGGAATAACTGCTGCAAGCGGTGCTCCCTGGAGTTTCCAGGCACTATCATAAATACGCCCTGACCCAGTTCTGAAAGTTTGTCGGCAGCGTTGGAAAACCAATGGCGTTCCATTTATTTCGCGTGCACTATTGGGAAGGGCGTAGGTTAGAGATCTACATACATGGATAATTTGTACCAAATAGAACTATTTTGATCATGTTATTTGTGTTTAAAGGCAAACATTTAACTTCTGTACTTTGTTGCGCACACATGCATTCTGCGAGATGTTATATAACCATACACAAAATTATGTATCCTTTCATATACACTGTGTCCGTAAAGTAACGGATAAATTCATTATTTTGAAAATGGTAGAATTTTTGAAAAATCGCTCAGACACGTCAATTTTGTTTTTTTGTTTGAAATTTTTTGATATATTTTTCATTATACAGGGTATCTCAAAAATAGCTCCGCTGCTATCAACTTTGTTTTTTCAAATAGATCAACCTGTATATTATGACATTTATGGATTCTGCGGGAAATTTTTGACATATTTCATGCACAATGTCATATACCTATCTTCAACTGTTTCGGAAATATTGACAGTTGATAATTGATTTTTTTGGAACTTTGACAGGCTGTAAAACCTGAACAGTTAATTTTAGAAGAAAACCGATTTCACATTCTTATCTTAGATTTTCATAGACTATCATTTGACACCAACTTTGAATTTATCCGGAGATTAAATTTAACCGGAATTTTTAATCACAGATTAACTTGAAAGTTGGTGTCAAATGATAGTTCATGAAAATCTAAGACAGGAATGTAAAATCCGTTTCCTTCTAAAATTAACCGTTCAGGTTTTACAGCCTGTCAAAGTTGCAAAAAAATCAATTTTGAACTGTCAATATTTCCGAAACAGTTGAAGATAGGTATATGACATTATACATGAAATATGTCAAAAATTTCTCGCAGAATCCATAAATGTCATAATATACAGGCTGATCCATTTGAAAAAACAAAGTTGATAGCAGCTGAGCTATTTTTGAGACACCCTGTATAATGAAAAATATATCAAAAAATTTCAAACAAAAAAATAAAATTGACGTGTCTGAGC